ACTGGAGGGCTCCCACATCGTGTAAACGCCTAGCTTTTCACACTGAGCGGAATTTTCATGCTAAGCTCCCAGCTTGAACTGAAATCCTCTCACTTATCCTCAAATCCGAGATGAAATACTGTCAGATGTACTGTGATCCAGGGAATTTAGTAGGAGACTGACAGGCCGGGTGGAGAGACATATGAGTGACTGATACCGAGAGGCACAAGTGCGCTTGTCCGTGTGGAGGAGGAGCAGGGAGAGAGGGGCGACGACTGTGAGGGGAGGAGATTTTTATCCGATGATTTGTCAGAGGCACAAAGAGTGACTCGTGTCAGTTAGGTGACGAGTAACAAAAAAAGTAGCACATTGTCACATGATCCAATCATTTTGCGCTACATACTTTGTTAATGTATAATGCATTATTTTATACTGAAATTTAAATGATTTCTTTTCTTTTTTCCCCCCAAAAAATGTCTGTATTTGATTTGTGAAAGTGTGCTGTACACGGAAACACTTTCCTCACGCTAGTATTGCTCTCATTCGTCAGTCGGATGCTTTATGTGGGGTATTGGGGCTGATATTTGGAGGGTGTGTACATCCCTCATCTCTGAATAGCTCTAAGGCACAAGCAGGAAATGGAGTCCTGGCATTTTGTTTTGCATCAGTGCTCCTCTTTATTAGAGAGGAACAGAATCGACATAGAATTATAATTGGAAAATTGTAAGCTTGCTTTCATTACAATTAGCCAGATCACAGGATGCAATAAACCAATTATTTTACTTAAAAGCAAGTTTCCTCATCACTCTGCAGTGCGTCGCAGGATGTGTAACCTCATCCCACATGGACGTGCCAGTGAAACAGCAAACTCTCTGTCTCCTACTCTGTCGCTCCCCGCTTACATGTAAACACCAGCATGCTTGAGTGTGTTCAGACAGCTGAACATACACTGACATATGAACGCCATTTAGCGGCACCACACGGGCGCGCAAACACACACACACACCTCAACAACATACAAATAATTGAGTAAGATTTGCTGGTACATTAAGTTTAATGTGTTTGACATTTGGCGGGAGGAAATGGTGGGCCCAAAGTGGAGTAGCCGGGTCTTTCTTCAATCAGGGCACTGCAGGGCTTCATTTTACAACCCCGACGCAAACCCAGACCCGTCAAAGCTAATTAGCGCCGTTGCAAATGGATACAGGTCATGGCTCTCAGCGGATTGGTCCACAGAAGGGTCGCCAAAGGTCAAACCTCCAGTATGGAATGATATAAACAATCATCTATAGACCACAAACCAATCAATCCCTTTTAACACTATCCACTTCCTGGTCGGCTGCTCTCAGATGTCAGAGGTCAGTGTACAAAAAGACAACTGAGCCAGTGGGTTTGGGAGTGGGAAGCATATCCAACTTATTATCTATTTATTTGTATTTTACCAGCAAAATATCAAATGCATTTAAATCTGTTCTCTGATAGCTTCTGTTATGTTTGTATATGTGCATGCCCATTCATTTATTATTTTCCACTGTTCGCATGACAAAGCTTTAGATCTTGGAGAGGAAAATCCTGTATATTTAGTTAGTCTTTCATGAACTCTATACTACATAAAAATCAATAAGAGTGGAGTGAATAAAAAAATGATCTAAAAGCATCTTCTTTCTTTGCAGCTAAAGCACACTGTGTGCGTGTTTTCATGCACACTGAATAAAGCCACTTCAACATCAACATGAAGTTCCGCAATTAGCCGGGCAGAGAAAAAAAGGACAGAAAGACAGCGAGAAAGGAAGAGAGGAGGGGTGGGGGAGGAAAAAGGATGGAAACCAACGCTTGAGGAATTGAATTACCAGAGCCTTTTCTCATTATCATTTAGCCGTCTTTTATGGCCCACCAGTAAGAGATGATGTTCCCATGACCCCGCACAATACACAGACATATTATTCAATCCTGCCTCGATGAAATTCCTGCAAATAAAACCTTTGTGCCGGGCAACAGCTAATTATTTGACAGATTGGCCCCCTTCTGGCTCAGGTTACAGTGTGGAGTGGCCATGTTTTAGCCCCCCACTCCCCACCTCCCACCCAAGCAAGAACACCACCAGCACTCCCTCCCCGCTCTCTTCCAATCCTGGTGCAGAGAGGGGCCACTTTGACAAAATCCCAGAGGGCCTCATTCTTTTCAGGAGATTATATATTTCTGCCCCCCCCCCCCCCCCCCAACCATCTATCCATCCAAAATCAGGGGAGCGTGATGTGTGTGTGTGTGTACAGATGGGGGTTCTGTGTGTCAGTGACAGCAGTCATTTCATAGTTTAAAGGGTTTTCTCAAGCAGAAATATTTAATCTTCCCACGAAAACAAAGTTTGGTGGTGAACGACCATGATGGAAAGACAGAAAGAGAGATGTAAAAAAGAACGAAGAAAAAAAAAACACCAAACCATGTCAAATATGTGTTTTGTTACACTCTATTTATACTTACTTTGAAGAAATGCTGTACCTATGAATTGAGCATAATTTTTTGTAATACCAAATTAGAGAGTGGGGAACATTAAGGGATTAAAGTTTTGGGTGGGCATGCCTTTGGCTTTGATTCAGTCCACTAATAACAAGAGTTTGTCATTAGTGTTCGGACATGGACCACCAAGATAAATGCCAACACATGTTTAAATTATCTGGAGAGTAATGGCATTTTCCTTCAGCCCTTTCCCTTCCCATAAAGGTCCCTTGTTGACTCAACTATGCCGACATTTTGAGTTATCAGCTCAGGTTTAATCTGTTGCTTACTTTGCACCCATGCAGATGGAATAATTCAAGAGGTTGTACGTGTTAAAGAGGTTAAAACGAAGCAATGCGTAGAAATGATGTAAGGGAAGGCCACTGGGGAACAATGACATTTAATTACTGTGGATTTTAAGCATACACGAAATGTATAAACATGTTATATATAGAAGGATGACAAACTGTGATAAACACTTTTTCAGTTACACATATAATAATAAATAAATATATATATTGTTCTGACATTTGTTATTAAAATCAATTGAACTAGATACAGTCATTTAAAAACTGCCATATAATTGTAATAGTGAAAATGCCGCGACTGAAAGAAAAAGTCACAGATTATTTTTAGAATCTTGACGCAGTGCTTGTAAAACCACAACACTTTTGCCTGTCACCCAAGAGAACTAAAACAGGGAACTACTGCTACTGTGTGAGGCATTTCTGCCACAGCGTTTCTGGAAATTGCCAGAGCTGAATATTTCTAAACGGGGAATTGATATCAAATAATGAAACAACCTGAAAAATGGAAGTTGGAGTTGGACTTAGAGCAAATGCTGCACTATGACCAGTTTGTCTGCAGTTTCCGTGCTAAGATTGGTGTTGTGACATATCAGGACAGGATGTCCTCTGAATTTGGTAAAGTCTTAACAATCCAACCCTTTATATATGATCTAACTATATGCAAACATCTTTAAAAAGACAAAACAATTTAGCCTTTTTTTAATGTACATCACCCTGTAAACACCACTTTGAGCTTCTGCTCCTAACAGTTCCCAACAGTTACACCCTTTTGTTTTTCCACCTCTTGTACGGTGAAATTCTTGCTGGGATCCAGTTGCATGTCTGGGATGCTCGACTACTGTGTTCACCTGGCATGAACCCAAGTGAGCAGAGCCTAGAGTATTCATTGCTCAACCTGGGTGAAGGTCATACAGTCCAGCTCTTCCCCACTTCGCTCCCCAGTGAGCAAACATATGGCCATGGAGCACCTTGAACATGTTTGGGTGACCAGAGCTACTTGGCCTGGGTTGCCACGGCAAAGAGAAAAAGTGGCACTAAGGGAGGTTTAGGCCTAACTTGCTAAAGCAGATCAAGGATAAGGAGGGAATCGGAGGCTGCCAACAACTGAGATCATCAATAACTAGTTGCTTGCAAACACTGAAAGCCATGTAAAGTCACCCAGCCGTGCGTGCACATGGAAATCTACAGAGTTTCTCGCCTGTCTTGTTTCTCCTCCCCTGTTTCTGTTGATATAAATGCTTGTAATCATAAGGTACAATATCATCACCCCATTGTTCAAACAGCCAAGCCTCATCTAATCGCTTCCACGTTTCCTCAGTGTTAAGCTCATTAGTGGGTGACCTAAAGGCATGTAGGGAAAAAAAAGAAAAGACAAGCAAGAGAGACAAAAAAAATCTTTGGATAATGGATGCTTGCTGTTTTGAGACAGTAAAAATAAACAGGTCTGCAGCCTTGATAATGAATATGCTGCAAATGCTGGCCTACAGTGTGAGTTTATCACAAAAGTCCAACTAATAAGCCTGACTAGTGCGTATGTGCATGCATTTTTTAATATATAGTTGGAGCAGTGTGTATGAGCATGCCAAAATTGAGTCCTTCATTCTATGTGTTGCTGCATGTGCGTGTATTTACCTTCCGGCTGGCTGAGGGTTGGGGGTAGGGGTGGAGAGGGTGTCGGAGATGACGATTCGCCGCTAGACTTTGTGAATGGGGATGTGAAACTGTCTCTAGTGTCTGAACGTCCGGCCCAGGTGGCGACTGGAAGGCTGACTTCATTAGCCTTAAAGAGGAAACAAAGGAAGATGCATCGTAAAAAAGTGCCATCCCTCATCTGCAAGGCCACCGCCTGACACATTAGGAATCTGTATGCTCAATTAACCACTGGCAGGCTCATTTTTCCTCTCTCTCTCTCGCTCTCTATACCACTTTCTCTCTTCCCCCTGCTCTTGATCAAACAGAGCGAGCGGGAGCGATCACACTAGATAGAAGCGAAACTCAGTACGTAGCGTGTTTGTGAAGTTTGATGTATTTTACTTGCACGCTAACTGCAGTAGGTTAAAGGGAAAAAAATACTTTTTTGTCAAAGTTTTAAAAAAAGAGTCAATTTTTTGTAAGCTTAATGATTGCAGTTGAACACATTCAAAACCCCTCCCTATGAATTCTACAGCTGTGTAATTTTATTCTTATTATCATTTATTTATGTATTTTTTGTTACAGGAGAAGAAATGTGATCCCTCGGAATAGAAGAAATCAGCTTTAAGTGGTATGTAGTTTATTTGGGACTTTTTTTTACTTGAAAAGTGCACAAAAATATGATCCCCACTTATATATTCTTATATGTTCTATCAGAATTCATAAGCATAATTATACGCACAGGTGACAAATGAAAGGGAAAGACGACATCAAGTGTCGAACATGCTGTTGAACAATGGGTTGTAATGAAGTTGTAATGAAGGGTTTTCTAAATCGATATAGTAACGTCACACAAGAATGTAAAAGAGCTATGTCCATCAATATTGAAATAATGTTTTTATTAAGCCTTTTCAACTTCTTAACTTTTTTGTTCAAACCCATGTTACTTGGTGTTCTTCATGTGTTCTGCATATCATATAACCTTGAGCCGCCAGCCTTAAGAGATGAGAAATGGGCCACAGAGTTTTCAGTTTGTTCTAACTATGCACCTCCTAGATTTTCTGATCCTTGCACACTTGCAGCCCCAACCAGTGCTCACACAAGTGAGGAAATTTATCAGACTTTGTACAGCTCCCTCTGGAGGGAGTAGTATATGTAGTAATAAACAGAGTTTAATGTGTCCAATCATATAAGATAAACACAGGGGCGGCAAAGGTTCCTCCTCATGTTTTGTTGATGGAAACGCATACATGATCACGCAAACACACACACGCACACGCACACACACACACGCACACACACACACACACACACACACACACACACACACACACACA